TTAGATTCGTGCACTTGCGGGTATTTTTAATTGGTTGTTTGCACATTAATTTGTGTCCTTTTAGGAATGCAACAGTACCGGGGAAGAGAAAGGACTCGAACTCCTCTTAATTATCCCAGCTTCCAGCATAGCATTCACTTGAGACTCAATTTTGGCATTTTGCCAATGTGGGTATCGATATGGCCGTACATTAATAGGTCCGGTTTCTGGCAGCAATGGTATACGGTGATCAATGGCACAAGAGGGTGGTAACCCCATAGAGTCCTCAAACAAATCAGAAAATTGCTTTAATAAGCCTTGAACACCCAGTGGAGTGGTACACATGACTCTGTGGTTTGCTGGGGTTTCTAGAATTGCTCATCTTTTGCAAGCACAACCAATACTGCAGATTTTGGTGGGATGACATTGGTCCCATTGCCCTTGTTGCCCAGTAAACGATAATTGTTGCTACCCACTGTAAACTCCATGAACTTTTCTCTGAAATGCCAACCAATGAGTCCCAATGTCTCTAACCATTCGACCTCCAACACTAAATCACACCCAGATACAGAGAGGAGGCAAAAATCACCTTGGAATTCATAGGCCTGGAGTTTTACTTTCACAGCATAAACCATACCTTTTGTGCTATAAGACTGACCCGCGGCAACCACTATTCTTTCTGTCTTCTTAGCATCAATGGTTGCCTTCAGCTGTGTAGCTATTTTAGGGTTAAGAAAATTATGATCTGCCCCCGAATCAATGAACACCATGATCAGAATGCCCTCAATGGTATCGTGTAAACGCATTGCCCTTCTGTGGGTCCGTTTCCAGTCTGCTATCGCATTGAGGTGTGTGGTGGTGTCCTCAATGGAAGGTTGGGGTTCTTCATCATAGCAGGGTTCTGGGATTTCGGGGGTGGATTTAGTCACCCCGTCTAACAAGTTCTCGGATTCAATCATCAAGATGTAGGGCTGTTTACAACGATGGCTTGGAGAGTAAGCTTCATCATAGCTAAAGCACATCCCTTTCTAACGCCGTTCTTGAAGTTCAGCTTGAGTCCGACTAAAAATTGGGCGGTTGGTTGGCGAGTGATCTGTAGCGGCTTTAGAAATTGGAGAGAAGGGTGTCGAAGAAAAATTAGGTGTGCTTTAAGGTTTGTAACGGTGTGTGGATTGGGAACTAGTAAACCTGGAATTAAAATTCATTTGACCTGTTTTCTTTTTCAGCTTGTTTTCAAATATTTGGGCTAGTTCCATGGCACGGGCCAGAGATTGTGGTTTTAAGGCAATGACGTCATCTTGTATATCTTCCTTAAGCCCACCTGCAAAGGTGCCCAGCAATTGCTCATCGGTCCAGCCCACTGCTCTGCAGGAGAGTTTAATGAAAAGGCCCACGTACTCAGCTACTGACATAGTTTGTTTACTGTGGGACAAGGCCATATTGACATTTAGGGTTTCACCGGGCCCAAAACGCTGAAGCAACATGTCGGAGAAGACGACCCATGAGTCGCGTAGGTATCGTGATTCGAACCACTTCATCCATAGGGCGGCGTCACCACCCAGATGCATCGCTGCCACCATGACCTTCCTATGGTCTTCCACTTCATGGTTGTCGAGTAATCATTCGGCCATTGCTAACCACCCATATGGGTCCTCACCATAGAAACACGAAAGATCCAACTTCATTAGTTTCATGGAGCTGTAAGAGGTATTTTGGTTAAACATGGAATTAGGGCTCGACATAGTGTGGGGAAATTGACCGAGTGGAATAAAGGGGGAAAAGTTTGATGTAGGTACTTGGGTAGTGACCTGTGATGGATGGGATACTTGGGTGGTGACTTGAGATGGATGGGATCTGAGCGATCCTAGTATGAAACTTGGGCCTGCGTTTGTGGAGAGGTTTGGTAAGATCTGGGTTGTTGGTGAACCCGTGGAAATGGGTATCGATGGTTGAGGCATGGTGGTCATGGAAGCCAAACTTGGTTGGCTATAGCCGAGAATCGGACCTGTAGGCGGAATTGCCCATGCCGACGGCAACTGTGGCGTTGGTACCGGATGGTGGGTGGGAGACACAGGAGGGCGAGGAAAAACTGGGCTTCTAGCTCGTCAGGTCCGAAGTTCATCCATCACCGTTTTCTGGAAGGTCAAGTTCTGGGTTTGTTGGTCGCTTAATGCTGTAAGCATTTTCAAAATCTCTGCGACGTCGCTTTGTACCACGTCTTGGCGTTGAGAAACAGTGGTCACCATATTCTGAAATTCCTGGAACTGAGCTTCCAGATGGTCACGCTGTAGGTGTTGACGAGTCCTTACTTAGTTAGGATTTTGGTTCCTTATTTCATTAGAATTTTGGTTACTTACCAATTATTATTTAGTCCTATTGTAATAGAGATTTCTTCCTATTGTAATTTAGATATATTTCCTATTTTATTTAGGGTTAACACATCTTTGTACTTGTATAAATACCTCCACATTGGAGAATAATAATAATATGAGCATATATGAGCATATTTGAATCTTTGCCTTACTTTGTTTGACATGGCATCAGAGCCAACTTTTCTGGTGACCTGTGTATTGTGCTCACCCGTGTTCTAGCCTCATATTTTTTCCTACCGATGCCCTATGTGCCCTCCTAGGTTTGTGTGTTGTGTTGCTGTGTTCGTGTCATTCCTGTCTTCGTGCATCTACAGTATTTGTGTATTTGCTGTGTTCCCCTGTGATAACCTCTGCCAAATTGAGAGTCGTTGGCACTCCTCATTCCTAACCCATCATGGGTCTTCATCTTGTATAGTCATCTTTTTTTGTTCATCCTCTCATATGTGTTTTCACCGCACCTAGCCTTCACATGCTTCTTTGCTACTATCCCAAAATTTTTATTTTTCATCTTTGTATGCCAAATGGTCTTTCTTGATGTCCCAGCTTCTCTATCTTTAAAACTTCATAATAGGTCTCTTTACTCAGTGAGCCTCGTCACCACTCACGGAGCCGTTGCTTTCCTCCGCGAGCCTCGTCAACGCTCGCCGAGCCATATCTGCTGTGATTTCTTCCTCTGTGTTACAGACTTGGTATCACATCCCAAGTCAAGCTTCCAATTAAGTTTCTAGGCCCGTCTGGTATCTGCAATCCCTTACCATACCAGCCTAAAACCAATTCATTCAAAGTTATCCCAGCCAATCCACACTGTCGTTGTTCCCTTTGCACAGCTACTTACTCTCTCTGTGTTGCCGGCATTGTCCCGGCTTCTTGTCTTGCCCATATCCCTCATGCACTCTGTCTTCCACTTGTTTCCTTTATTTTATTGACTTGTTTTGCACCATATGTCTCTTCCTTTATCAACACCTCTCGCATTTGTCAACATCACCTACCCTATCTATACAAATTCATCCACCTCCCTACCACCTTCCCATCTTGCATTTGTTTCTGCCACAAG